CTAACTTTCTTTCTCTCTTTCCCCTTTCTCTTTCCTCTTTCTCTTTCCACTTTTTCTCTTTCCCTGTCTCCTCTCTTTCTCTTCTCTTTCTTTCCTCTTTCTCTCTCTCCCTCTCCCTCCAGGTTAGGAGAGAGAGAGAGAGAGAGAATGAAAGGCAGATGGCGCCGAACGGGCGGGGAGAGCAGGACGGAAGGTAGAAGCTCCTGGCCGCCCCCCCCATCGCTTCTTCAGCCGAAAAAGCAGGGAGGGGGGCAGGGAGGGGGAACAGGACGGGAGGCAGCAGCTCCAGTGGCGGCGGCCCCATTGCGTCCTCAGCCAAACGGGCAGGGAGGGGGAGCAGGACGGGAGGCAGCAGCTCTGGCGGCAGCCACTGCAGCATCGTCGGGGTCCCCGTCGCCGCCCCTGGCCCGGCCACCGCCCCCGCCGCTTCTCCTGCAGCAACGAGGGCAGCAGCGGCGGCTCCCTGAAAGTGCCCGAGGAAGGTGCCACCGATGGGGCCGAGGTGGGGCCGGGCGGCGGAGAGCCCTGCGGCAGCCAGGCGAGCTTCATGCCTGACTGCCGTCCAGCCCGGGCTGGGGAAAAATGTGGCTAGTTCGGCTTCCCGGGGAGCGATGCTCCCGCTGGCCGCCGCACCAGCCATGACTGCCACCCAGCACGGGGAGACATGTGGCTGGTTCGGCTGCCCAGGGAGCGGCCCAGGAAGCGATGCCCCAGCCGAGACTGGAACAAGTAAGCCGGGGGGGGGGGCGAATCACCTGCCCCGCAGCCACTTCGCAGCGGTGCTCTGCGGACTCAGAGCTCCCTCCCTCCCCCCCCTGCCACTGACCTTCCATCTCCAGCTCTGCTGCTGCTTGGCCAACGGTTGCGCCGGCTGGACATCGCAGGGGCTGCTCTCTCGGGGCTGCGGCTTACGGGAGGGCTGGCCCACTCAGCAAAGGCTCCGGGGGGGTTGCTCCCAGCGGGGATCCCGGGGCTTCCCCGCATGGCTCCCCAGCCACGTGCGCCTGGGATGGGGCCAGCCCGGGAAAGGGACTTCCNCTCTACTGCCTTCTAGCGGAGTCACTCGACTGGGAGATGGGCGGCAGAAGCGCCCTCTTGTCCCATTGGTGCAGTCAGTGATGCTCCTTTCAGCAGAGCCCAGCACCCTCCCACTGCTTCGCCATTTGCCTGCTTTGAAATGGCTTTTCCCACAGAAACTGAGAAGCCCAAATCCCACAAGGCCACACGCGTCACACTTGTGTGTTATTACAACTCTGGGGCTGACCAATGCCATTTTGGGTCCCCCCCCCAGTAGCCTTCTGTCTTCTCTCCTAAACTCCCCCACCCCTGAAATCCTGAATCAGTGAGCCCCAGAGAAAGGTGTGGCAAAGGGGGTCAGGCCAGGGGGTGAGCCTTTGCAGGCTGGTGACCCTGAAGCCCCTTCTGGGCTCGCCATAGGTAAGCATCTCTGCAGCTCGGTCTCTTTCAAAATTTTATTAAGATTTGCCATGTTAATCTTTGAGTAATTAAAGCTTGTGACACAGTTTGCCTTAATCCCATTCAAGTGACTTTTATTTGATCGCTTTTTTCTACTAAAAAACCATAATTTTTGTTTTATGTCATAACTGATGCTCAGCTGTTCCTTGAAAACTGCCAAGTAAATGCTGCAATCACCTCTGCAAACCAATTTGCATGCAAGGAATTAGAAATGGATAATTAGAGCATAATTACAATGTAGCATGTCGGTTTTCTTCATCTGCCAATGGAAACCACGTGTTCTTTTCATACCGTTAGGGTGCTGCTCAGAGATAGGAAACAGAAGAATCATCCCTGCCTTCTCAAAGGCCGCCCCATCTCTGCAGGCATGCAGGGGCCATCTGTGGGGCAGACCAGGCTGGGGCCACCGCCCTCAGTCGCTCATTGGTCTTCAGACTTAAAAATGGCCTCTGTCTCTGACTAATTTCCACTCGAGCCTGCCACTTAATTTATTTCGTGTCCAGATTAAACCTTAAACTGCCAACATGAGCTTGCCTTTTTGGCTTTATCGTTGGCCAGAAACAAATCACTTTTGGTGCATCCTATTGGTAGCAATGGACAGGCCAACACATTGGCCAGACTGTGTTTCTCCACCTTCGCACAGCGTGTTGTTATCCACCAGCAGCCTCCACTTGAGCATATTGGACTTACACTCAGACACACCCATCCTCAACATCATCTAGGTCCTCTAAGTGACATAGGGGAGATCGGATCCCTCTGGCGGGCTTCCTTCTGGGCTTGATTTACTTCTTTGGAATCCCTGGTCAGACTGCTCTGGCCCTTCTTTCCAAATACCTATCACAGTTGGGGGAGGGGGCACTGTCAGGTAAATATAATTTAATGTGAAATTAAATCTCCCTCTTTTGGGAGATAATTTTGGGCATCTTGCTTGGTGCCATGTCAAGAAAGGTGTCAAATCTTATCAAAAACATTGGTGGTAGAATCCCGCAACTCCTGTCTATAAAAGACGCTTCCTTCCCAGTGTCAGGAGAGGAATTATGTCTTTGGTCTGCATGTCAGAAGTGGGTCTCCTTGAGTTCCCGGGTGCTGCTTTTCCTGGCCTGGCAACCAAAATGGCAGAGGTACAGAGGAGCAATTCAGGGGTGGCCAGGAGTCCGAGTCCCTTGTGGGGAGAGCTGTGGGGGCGAGAGCAGCTTGGCTGGCAGATGGTGGGACTGATCCCAGCTGCTCCTGGTTCATCCTATTTCCACCTTTCTTTGAGCATCTAGCATCAGAGATCTGCTCTACTCGCCCTGAATAAATCCTGCTCATACTTTGCTCCTTCAACAGGACTGTCCTTCCTTACTTAGACTTGGAGTGGGAGTGGCACACCTGGTTGAAATTAGTCAATTAGACTAATCCCTTTGCCAAAGTTGGCATTCACAAGCTTCTCTGATGCTTGTTGCTTCCCACACTGGATGCGCTTTGATGATTTGCAGACCACAACCTGCTCGCTAAGCGCCACGGATATGGCGCTGCAAGAAAGAGCTCCTGGCCACAGTCTCCATTCTTTGACAGCGCAAAACAGGAGCGGACAGCAGCTGGACTGGGTCCGGAGACCCTCCTGTGCTGGTTCCAGATGAATCTGGCCCAGAATGGAATTGCAGCTGAGAGCCCTGCTTAGACTGCAATTTGATACCTGGATTTGTACCAAATCCTAAATTTGGGCTTCTTTCTACAGAAAGCCTTAATGGTTCAGTTCATTAGGACTTCTTAAATTAGAACAGGCTTCTAACAGTATGGAGAGAATTGATCACAGTTTTAATTTCATTTTGTGATTCAAATTGTACCATCTGCTGCTCCTCATATTTGTATTCTGCCTAGAATTGAAGAGCAATTTTTAGGGTTTTTTATATGCAATATAAAAATACACGCATATAAAAGAATGTCTGCAATCACTTAATGAAATATTGAAAATCCAAAATCATGAGATTTTAAACCCCTTAAAGCCTCTTCTTTATTCACCTGACTCTGTTTTTTTCTACTGTTTTATCCTCCTTGGTTTTTTTTCTTTTCTGTTTATATCTTTTCTCTTACGATGTTCAACAAAATATATTTTTGGAACTCAGCCAAAGGTAAAGAAAAGGCCAGTCCATTTCTTAGGAATTGTGGCCTGCCAGGGCCTGGGTGGGACCTCAGGGGGCAGAGGTCATGGCATCCAGTGCAGGTCCAGGGGGAACACAGGGGGCCCTCACTGCTGCAAGGCCAGATCCAGGAGCCCTTTGAGTTGGCTGGGTCCTGGGGCAGGATGGCTCCATGGGCCGCTTGGCCTTGGACAGTCTGTCTTTAGCCGCCAGAGATGGTTGCTGCTCTTGGTCCAGCTATGCAGGCAGCATTGCTGCTCCCACAGACGGACCTTCATTGGAGACAAGGGGGGGAGGCAAAGGTGGGCTTCACGGCTGTATTTTGTTGCTCTCCTTTCAAGGAATGTACTCTGAAGGTCCAGGAGGGGAAGTTCAAGCTCCAGGACCTGCTGGTGGTGCCGATGCAGAGAGTCCTGAAATATCACCTTCTGCTCAAAGTGAGTCGTTCTCCACCTTGCAGAGGGATGAAAAACCCAGATGCATTCTGCAGTGGGCAGGTGGGCTTCAGTTGCTCTCAGTGCAGAGCATCCCAGGTGAGAATTACAGAATTGGAAGGGATCTTGGAGGTCTTCTAGTCCACCCCCCTGCTCGAACATGAAACCCTATACCATTCTGGACAAATGGCTCTTCAATCTTTGATTGAGTACCCACAACTTCTGGAGGGGAGCCATTCCACTGATTAATTGTTCTCAATGGCAGGAAGTTCTAGATCGGATCTGTACTTGATCAGTTTCTACCCATTGCTTCTTGTCCTGCCTTCAGATGCTTTGGAAAATAGGTTGACCCCCTCCTCTCTGTGACAGCCCCTCAAATATTGGAAGACTGCTATCATGTCACCCTAGTCCTTCATTAGACTAGACATACACAGTTCCTACAACTGTTCGTTGTACAACTTACCCTCTGGTCCCCTAATCATCTTTGTTGCTCTTCTTTGGACTCTACGTTTCTAGAGTCTCAACATCTTTTTTGTATCATGGTGCCAAAATTAGATGCAGCATTCCAAGTGTGGTCTTATCGAGGCACTATAAAGTGATAAAGTAACACTTCACATGACTTTGGTACTTTCTCTTTGTTGATGCAGCCTAGGATTGCATTAACTCTTTTGGCAGCAGCTTAGATCTCTCTCACAGTTACTATTGTTGAGCCAGGTACCACCTGTTCTGTACTTGTGCATTTGGTTTCTCTTGCCTAAGTATAAACCTTACTTTTCTCACTTCTGAAATGCATTTTGTTGGATAGGGCCCAGTGTTCAAGTCTGTCCAGATCCTCCTGTGCTTTGAGCCTGTCTTCTGGAGTGTTGGCTATTCCTGCCAGCTTGGTGTCGTCTACAAATCTGATGAGTTCCCTTTTTATCCTCTGACTTAAATCCTTTATGAAGGTATTGAAGAGTGCTGGGCCTAAGGCAGAACCTTGGCTACCCCACTGCTTGCTTCTCTCCACATGGAAGTAGCTCCATTAAGGACTACATGCAGAATGCGGTTGGTCAGCCAGTTGCGGATCCATCTGGTACTGATGCCGTCTGTCCCACAGTTTTCCGTCTTGCCAAGAAGGCTGCGTTCTGCTTTGTCAAAGGCCTCACTGGTGTCCAAGTAAATTATGTAAACAGCATTTCGCTGTTTACTTAGTCACTTTGTCAGTGAATGCACCAATGTTTGTCTGGCACGATCTGGCTTTGGCTCCTACAGCAGCACAGATCTCCTTAATGCCGGTTCCAGTTGGATTGGTAGAGCCAAAGGGATGCAGAACAGTCAGCCCCATGCTGCCCACGTGGCCCTTGGAGCCCAGAGGAGATCCTGAGCCTCTGCATCAGGTGGGGAGAGCCGGGCATCAGGCAAGGGGCAGGGAGTCTTTCAGACAATTTCAGCCTGAGCCTCCTCTGGCTCTGCTTGTGCCCCCCTTGCCCAGGATTCTCCCCCGTGCAAATGCTTTTGATTCTACCCAGAAATTGATAATGCAGTTATTCTCACAAACCTTGATTAATTCTGGCTTGTTCGCTCAAGCTTGCACCAAAACATCTGATGCTGCATGGCCACCCCCAACGGCCATTATCCTTGGGACAAGCAACTCTAACACTTCTTCCTTAGCAGGACCTCTCCTGTCACCTACTCCAGAGGCCTTGAACCGCTGGCATGGCGAGGTGGAGCAGGAAGCAGGCAGGCAGGCAGGCAGTGGCTATAGTAACCTAGGATGATGGTTTGTCTTCTAGGAGCTGCTCAGCCACTCATCCGACCGGCCAGAGAAGCAGCAGCTGAAGGAAGCATTGGAGGCCATGCAGGTGGGGTCCTGAGGGAGGTCTTTTGGGGAGAACTGCTCTCCAAAGCCCCCCCCCCCAGTTTTTCTCAGCCTGACTTGGCTGTGCTCTGCTTCTGCCCTGGGGGGGGCTGGGAATTGCACAGGTGCCCTGATGGTGCTGGGCATGGGAGGCTGAACCCAGAAGCAGGATCCCTGCCCAGCGCTTTCTGCTTGCGATGCCACTGATGGGCCACTTTGACCAAAAAAGGCCCGTTGTTCGTTTTTCAGGACTTGGCCATGTTCATCAATGAAGTCAAACGGGACAAAGAAACACTGAAGAAAATAAGTGAATTTCAGAGTTCCATAGAAAACCTGGTAAGATCAAAGGAGTGGCAGCGAGGCCTTCCCAGTCTCCTCTCCTGGAGGCCAAATGGTTCCGGTGACCGGCAACAGGCTCCTCGTTCAGGAGACTGGCATCCCATAATGGCTGTTGCGAGGCAGTGATTGCAAATTGCCTTAGCCAGCCGAAGGGCACAGAGGATGTCAACCAGAGCAGGGTCCAGGGCAGGACTCAACTCTCCACCGCTAACTCTCCACGGGCCAACTTGCTGCGGGACAATTCACTGCGGAACAATTTAACAATTCTATTTATTTTTTTAAAATAAATAAAAAAATATTTAAATTTTTGTCGATCTCATTTCATTCTGTCCATCCTTTTGCATCCTTTCTTTAATTATTCTATTCCACCGTTTCTTTGTTATTAATATAACTGTTTTCTGGCAACAAGTTGGCAACAAGTGGAAAGTTATCCCGCAGCGAGCCGTGGCGAGTTGGCCGTGGCGAATTGTCCTAGGGCTAGGCCCCCCTCCCCCTGCTTTCTGGTCTCGCCCAGATGTTCGTTTACCTGCTCACAGGTCCCCAGAGCTGGATCGCACAGCACCCTGGAAGAGGCTTCACTGCCATCTAACCCCTGAAGTGCCCTGTCCCCCCTCCTCTTTGCCAGCTGAGGTGCCACTTTGGAGCTTTTGCTGTTTTAACCTTTGTCACCTTTGCCACAGCCGGTGAAGCTGGAAGAATACGGGCGGCCAAAGATTGATGGGGAACTGAAGGTCCGGTCCATCATCAACCACACAAAGCAAGACCGGTGAGTGAGCAAAGCAGTGAAGAAGGAAAAGCCTCTTCCAGGGGTCCTGGCTGAACTGAAGCCCTGCGAGCAACGTTGGTGCAGCTGGCTGAGTTCCCATGACATGTAGGCTTGAGTGGGTTGACTTCCAGAGGCAGGAACCCCACCCACAGCACTCCGCTCAGCAAGCCAGGGATGGCTAGCATGTTGCATGAAGGCAGCTCCCTCCCTCCCTGGAAGCAAATTCCACTTTTCTACCTCTGCCCTCTCAGCTCAGATCCCGCTCCCCTTGTGCCAGGCCCACCTGTCCTCTCCTTCCCCAGGACCCCCTTTCCCTGCCAGAGAGCAGCAGCAGCAGCAGGTGCAAGAGAGCTGACAGGGGTCCTACCTGCCACCCCTGCTCTGCCAGGTGGGTTGAGCCCACCTGGCGGCCTCTTCAGCAGCTGCCCTCCTCAGCAGCTGAACCCTGGAAGTGGGCTCAAAGGGACGGACCCTTTGCCTCCCCTTCCTGCATTAATAGGGAAGACCCCTGCCTTGGCTCATTTCCCCCCTCCCCAAAGCTGGACTAAGGCAAAAGGCGGGTGCTGCCTGTCCTTCTTGGGGCCACTCAGAGGGTGATGGCTTGCCCTCGGCCACCAGCCGTGTGCCCAAGTGCTCCTGGCCCAGCGCTGGGCCCCATGGCAGGAGAGGAGGTGGCTTTTAAAGGGGGCCCAGGAAGAGACGAGCAGGAGGGCTTTGGGGGGCATCTGGCTGGGTCTGTTGGAGATGCAGAATCTCAGGGGAGAAACTCCCTTGGCTGGAAGTGGCAGGCAGCCATTTGCCACTTCTTGGGGCCAGAAATTGGCCACTCTGGCCAGGGATGATGAGCCCTCTTGGCCAAGCCTCCAGGTGGGACATCTAGGCACAGGCTGCCCCTTTGGCTGGCATGGTTCTCCCAGTCACTGGAGGATGGGAGCCCCTTCCCCAAGGCCTGGGGAGAGGGAATGTGCAGACATGGTTGTTGAGTCCTGGTTTCCTCTTCTGATTCTGGGACAGGTATTTGTTTTTGTTTGATAAAGTGGTGATTGTCTGCAAGAGAAAAGGCTACAGCTACGAGCAAAGAGATATCCTTGAGCTGCTCTGTTACAAGATGACCGATGACCCCACCAACAACAAAGATATCAAGAAGGTGGGTGATCCCTCTCTTTTTTCTCGCTTCCCCTCCCTTCATGGCCAACATTGGGCACTGCAAGGGGGGGGAGCTGTAGCCGCTGGAAGCACACTTGGCACCTCCTGTTGTCCCCCTGGGGGCATCCTAGCCTGATTGTGCTCCAAAAGAGCTGGGGGGCTCAGGCTGTCCAGGGGCTGGAAGCTGAGTTCATCCTTCTCCACTGGCCTGGGGCCAGGGGCTATCCTTGTGCTTCTTGGCCCCTTTAGAGAAATCACAGTTCCATCACTGGGGGGTTTACCAGGATGCCTGTGTCCTTTGGCAAGCTGGCCTGGCAACCGCCCATCTCGCACCACATTCACCACGAGGAGAAGCCCCTTTCTGGTCAACAAGGGTTCCCACATGGACAGTTCTTGCTTGAAGCAATGAAGGAGATCCCAGGAAACCCAGTCCCTCTTTTATGCCAGTTTTTTTCCCTGCATGAAGGAACCCCTGTTCTTCTAGGGGCCTTAGCAGGTGGAATTCCTCCCCCCCCACACACACACTCTGGAGGGTGCAGATCCAGAAAGAGGCCTCTCCATTCATTCTCTGAAGAATTAAACATCTGGGCCACCTGGGACTGGGGGCCATGGGGAGGGGGGGAAAGGGGGCCCTTGTTTATTTAGAGTCTGAACAGGTGGGATTTGGAGCTTGTTGTAACCAACTGTGTCTCCCCTTCGCTTCCTTCTGCTTCTCAGTCGCATGGAAAAATGGTAAGCCGTCTCTACCAATTCCGGCCCTTTTGTCTTTTGCTGCTGCTGTAATAATCCTAGACAGGGCTGATTGGGCATCGTCCAGTGGGCTGCATGAGGGCCTGCGGTTACTGCAGGAAGCCTTACAAGCAGCCCTGTGAGGTAGGCTTGCCCGATGAGGGTGAGTGGAGCAGATGGGGCTAAAGCATCTTTGAAGGAGAGTCAGCCTCTTCCTGGGTTCCTGGCAGCCTCTTTGTGCTGCTGGCGAGACAGGCCTGCTGGCAAAGAGAAGGAAGGTGAGCCCTCCCAGAACCGGCACCGAATTCCCAGTCCTTGTGGCCAGGAATGGAGGGCACTTGGCCAAGCTTGCTGCCTCTGGTGCTGCAATTCAGCCGCCCAAGGGTGCCTGCTGAGGGCAGATTTCAGGGTGGCGCGATGGCTCCCCCCAGCCCTCCTGGCCTGCACTGGCCATGGGTTTCTCCTGCCTCGGCGTCTGGCTCCATCCGGTCCCTCTCTCTTTCCCCACAGTGGTCTTACGGCTTCTACCTCACTCACCTTCAAGGCAAACAGGGATTCCAGTTTTTCTGCAAGACGGAAGAGATGAAACGGAAGTGGATGGAACAGTTTGAAATGGCCATGTGAGTGTCCAGGCCCAGATCAGAAGGCTGAATGGTCAAGACACAAGCAGGCATGGCTGGCTCCTGCAGGTGGCCTTGACCCAGGCGTTGGTACATGTGATGCGCAGGCAGGACTAAGGGGTGCCGCCTGGCCTGGCCCTGACCCAGAGGTTCCCGAGTGCAGGGCTGAGCATCAGAGACCCTCGGTGCAAAGTGGACCCTCTTCACAATGTCCCCAAAGAGGAGCTGCAACTTGCTTTGCCTGACCTGAGCTGAGTGGTGCTCCTTTTCTTTGCCCAGATCCAACATTAAGCCCGAGAAAGCCACGGCAAACAACCACCAGTTCCAGATGTTCACCTTTGACAAGACCACCAACTGCAAAGCCTGCAAGATGTTTTTAAGGTGAATGTTTTTCCTTCTTCAGGTATACACAGACTTCTCAAATGCTGCTGCTAGTTTTACTGTAAAGTTTTACTGTAAAGTTGCATTATTACGAAAGGTCTTCCAGCCGCCGGGCAACAGGCAGCCGTGGAGCCATACAGCTCTGGGGCTGCTTGCCACCCTGAGGCTTCCTGGCACATCGAAGCAGGGGAGCTCTTGCTCCAAGCAGCCTCTGAGCTGCAGTGTGGCGAAAAGCAGCCGCTTCAGAGCCCACCCCTTCCAGGGCCCCATCGGCAGCTTACTGAAAGAGAAGCACCTTGTGTTGCCGGCCAGGGTCCCTCCTGGCCAAGGCTCTGCCGCCTTCCAAGAGCCACGCCTGTGTGGGCTGCCAAGGAACCGGGGAATTTTTGCCTGGACTCTCTCCTCCACCCCCTCCACCCCGGAAATCTGGTGGGCCTCTCATGAGAACTGGATCGAGGGGTTTTTGTTGCACCCTGGCCTGATGTCACCAGCCTGTTTCCATGGCCCCTGCCCACGCATGGCCAGAATGCTAAGCCCAGGGAACGGGATGCAGGTGAAGACCACAAGGAGAGTCAGCTGGGGGGAGGGCAGCAGGAGGGGCAGTAGTCAGTGTGGCCGAGCTCAGTTTTTATCATGGGACTGACCTCAGAATCTGAGCAGAAGGGCTTCCCTGCATCTGAGGAGAGGCCTGGGGATGTGGAGCCCACAGGGGCCTCCGGGCATCGGGGAGTCTTCCCTGCTCCTGCTCCAAGGAGTACAGTCTCTCAGGGCTCCAGCTCTAGGCAGGCATGCTGGGCTAGCAGCATCTCTCTCTTTCTGCAGGGGGACCTTCTACCAAGGCTACCAGTGTCTGAAGTGCAAGGCGGGTGCCCACAAGGAGTGCCTGGAGGTCATCCCACCCTGCAAATTCAGTAAGTGTTCCAAGCACACGGTGGTGGGGTGGCCGAAAAGCCCCTTGCGGCCAGCTAGCCCAGAAAACAGAGCAGGGCTGTGTCTGCTGCCAGGGTATCCGTTCGTGTCCCCAGGTGAAGCAGAGCGCCTGGGCTGTCCACTCCACTGCCCCAGGAAAGTCTGGTGGGCCACCCATGGGGACAGGTTTGGGGCGGTGCTCTCCAAATCAACACGTTTTCCTGCAATAAAAGGGACGATTCGCTCCAATGGCCGCCTGTTGATCCTGATAGAGTGGCTGAGCCCCCCCCCCCGGCAGCTTCCTCGTTGGGGGTCCCTGTCAACCTCTCACCCATCCCAGAAGGGCAGAGCAGCTGCAGAGACACATCCATTCTGCAGCTGTTTAGAGGATTTTGCATGTCATAAATCGTTTTGAAAAATACATTTTGCCCTCCTGTAACATCACCATTTGTATGTGAAAGGGCACTCTAAATTTTGAAGGTGGGTCAAAGGGCGAGAAAAGGCAGAGAAGGAAGAATTTGGAATAGCAAGAAATGAGGAGGGGGATTCAGGGGGTCATGAGATCTGCACGCACCAACTGATGAAACTGAGGTGTTCCTCTTAGGAGGTTTTTCAATTAACCAGCCACTTTTTCACGTTGCCTTCCAGGTTCTCCTGCTGAGCAGGTAAGCAGTGCAGCTGTTCTTCCTTCCTCTCTGGGAATGACGCAGGGAGCAAGGTGCCCGAGGAAGACACGGGGGTCCCCTTTCCCCCAGGCCCCTTTCCCCCACCCCCTTTCTTAGAGGTGAGGCCGAGTCCTTGGTTGGTCCTGAGATGGGGCACCCTTTTTTCTGCCCCAATTTGAATGCAAGGGGGTAGGGGCTGCAGCGCAGAATCCAAACTGTCGCATCTCTGTAAGACCTTTGCTGTTGGGGGGGGGGTCAGTTCTAAGAGCAAGACTAGTTCCTGGTGTGAACAAAAGCGCTCCAGGAGATCTGAAACTTCTTTCTTTTTTATTTCTGGACAGGAAACACTGAATCTAGGTAAGTCATCCCCTCCTCCTCCACCTCCTCCTCCTCCTCTGCCTCCTCCTTCACTGCAATCTCCTCCTCCTCCACCTCCTCCTCTGCTGCCTCCTCCACCACCTCTGCCTCCTCCACCTCTGTCTCCTTCTCCTCTGCCACCTCCTCCTCTTTCACCACCACCTCCTCCTCTGCCTCCTCATCCACCACCTCCACCTCTGTCTCCTCTGCCACCTCCGCCTCCTCCTTCACCACAACCTCCTCCTCCTCCGCTCCCTCCTTCTTAACCACAACCTCTTCCTCCGTCTCCTCCTCCTTCACCATAACCTCCACCACAACCTCCTCCTGGGGGTCTGCGATGTAGCCTCATCCTTTGCTGCCAACCCCTGCTGAGAGATCCATCAAGGCCCCTGTTGTTCCTGGCTTCTTTCCAGGTCCTAAAATGGTGGCCCTCCAGAATTACCATGGCAACCCAGCTCCACCAGGGAAACCCGTGTTAACTTTCCAAATGGGTGAAGTGATTGAGCTGCTCCGAGGGGAACCGGACTCCCAGTGGTGGGAGGTGAGTGGATCCTCCAGGAATCTGCAGAAAAGACCAAACCTTCCTCAGCTTGTTATCCATGGAATTCAGCTTTGCACCTGCCAGGCATTTTAACAAGAGCCTGAAATCCTTCAACTGCACCCAGGAGATGAGGAGATGCTGGCTAGGACAGGACCCTCCTTCCCTCCCTCTCTCCCTCCCTCCCTCTGCTGGGTTTATTCAATAGCACCAGCATTGGGGGCAGCCCCTGTGGGACCCAGCACCCTTGGCCAATCTAGGATCCTGCTCTGCCATCCGCCCGGGGTGAACTCAAGGAGCCCGGCATCCTGGCTTGCTGGTCCAGCTGAGCCTCAAGTCTCTCTGATCCCCCATTGGCTGCTGCTGCACCCAACGGGAGGTAGCCTGGGCTAAGCCCCTTCTGCACAGAATTGGGTCACCTCTGGGTGGCCAGCAAGACACGTTGGCTGAAGAAGTTCCACACCCCAGGCTGTAGCTTACCAGGTTGCAAAGCAGAGTTGGAAACCAGGTTGCAAAGCAAAGCAAGGTTGTGGGAACTCAGCCCTTAGCACATTTGCTGAGTCAGCCTATCACATTAGCATGTTCACACGACAGAGACACCATTGTTGTGTCTTGTTGACTTGCGTTAAGGGTGTTGTATGAATCTTTGAGAGAGTGAAAACCTCCTCATTTGGGAGAGAACCTAAACTCAAAGGGAGTCGGTGGCGCTGCTTCTTCCTTTATGCCCCTGCCTGGGTTTCCGCCCCACATGGCAGGAGGGACCCTTGCGAGGGACTCTTCTCTTTCTTCCAGGGGAGACTCGTCGTGTCCAAGAAATCTGGCTATTTCCCCAGCTCGTTGGTCAAGCCTTGCCCAGTGGACGCGCGGGTAAGAGTCCTCGAGGCAGGGAGCTATGACACCCCCCTCGCCCCCCAATGATTGAGCGCCTGGATTAACAGCTGCTGCGTTCAGTGGCTAACCCCTTTTCTTTTAGTCCGAGGACCGATTGCCTCCTCCTGGCACTGGGGGGGGGTCTTCTGTCCCACTGCTCACAGTTCAGACCACCCCTGCATGGGATGCCTTTGGGAAGACTGGCCTTCATTAGGATCTCCCCCACCCCAAATCACAACTTTGTTCTCTGCTGCAGCCTCCCAACAGCCGCCCTCCTTCACGAGAGATGGACTATTCCATATACCCCTGGTGAGTCGGGCGGGTGGGATTGGCTGGGCTCCTCGTTTGGAATCTCCTCATTGGTGAAGGTTGGGGGGGAAGTCCAAGTGAGTGGAATGCGGGGGACAATTTCTTGCTCTCTATAAATGGAGACCGTCAGAAAGAATAGTTTCTCTCCAAGCCCAATTGACAACGTTCCTTGGAAGAGCTCCCCAAATTTGGAGAGTCATATTTGTGGAATCCTTTCTTGGTTTTCTAAAACTTTCCCAGTTGCACCTATGAGAAGGAAAAAGGCATCTGAAAAAAATCCCTCCCTGTCCTGTTCCCCAGTGTTTCTGGCTTTGCGGACCAGCAGGGGGGGATGGTTTCGTGCAAGCCCGTGCGCGCAACTCCCTTTATGCAAGCAGCATGTACGTGCACCTGCCCCTCACGCCAATGGAGCCCGCTTGTGCTCACCGGCCATTTCCACGGCCCAGTTGCAAACCCCTCACGGCCCACAGGTTGGAGACCTGTTGTAGGGCTTTTTTCCCCCAAGTCTTGTTCAAAAAGAATAAAGAGCTGTTTCTCTCAGAAAGGATGCTGGGAAGGCTTCCTTGTGGCTTTTGATGTGCTGTTGCCTCTTCATCCGAAGGGGGGAGGGAAAGGGGTTATTGCCGTGGGGTACATGATGGCAGAGGACAGAAGAGTCCTGAACTTGAAGTGGCCTCCTCTTCATTTTGGGGTTGAACCACTTCTGGAAGGTGTTGCCTGAAGTCACAGCCTGGAGCCACAGGAGAGGCTCTCATCGCCCCCCAAGTTTATAGAGGTGCACGATTGCAGATTGAGGGTAGCTGGAGAGGAACAAGTGGCTGGGGAGACTTGGGATTGGAGCAGCAGGAGCTGTGAAGGGGAAGACCGAGGGTTCCAGGGGGATTCTGGCATGAGATGCAGCTTCTCCCAAGGATGTCCCTTGTTGGTTCCTCACCACTTCCAGGGAGGTTACCAGCGGAGGCTGCGAGGTTCAGCCTGGGCCTTCTCCTCTTCATGATCGGATGCATGATTCCAATCATACCATTTGTAGCTGATTCAGAATGGAAATAAAATTTTAATTGATTTTGCTAGGTTAAAGAATGGCTGAAATTAAGAGGATATAATTTAACAGAGATGGATACTAAATTACCAGCTGGGAAACAAACATTAAATGGAGAAATATTAGACGTAGCTGGTTCAATATGTTATTGATGAAACAATCTTGGAATAATAGTTTATTGAAAATTAAATATGAGCCAACTGTGTGATGTGGCTGTAAAAAAAAAAAAAAAGGCAAACCCAGTGCTGGGCTCCCATCAATAGCACTACAGATCCCATGAAGGAATAACTCCAGAGTTGCTTCTTGGTCAGATTCCGCTCATTGGTGCCACCCAGTTCTGTGTGCTGAGCTTCAAGAAGTATTCAGAGAACTTAGAAGAGAGTCAAAGAAAGGCATTAAGTAGAGCATCATGTGGGGAGGTTGAACCTTGAGAAGAGAAAAATTAAGGGGTGGGGGGAAGCTGACTTTCTGAAATATGTCACACTGGAGGAAAAAACTGGCTCTCTCTGGTCACAGAGTGCAGGCAGTGATAGGAGAAACTCCTAAGACCAGCTGGACAGTAAATTAAATGATTTGGAGGGATGGGGGGGCTGTCCCCTGAAGGAGGGGCTGAATTGCTGCCCGAATTATGGGTTGGATTCAGGCCTTCCATTCCAACTGGGGGGTTTGTGAGCAAGGCAGAGCTGAGATACGGAGCCCTGTAATGAAGGGTCATCGATGGAGGAGAATTTCTGCAACTCAGGGTTGAACTGGGCACCCTGAGTTGGGCTTTTGCCTAGCAGACCTTTCCCTACCTGACGAGGAAAGGCATCGGTGCCGCCAAGGGCTCCGCCATGCCAGGCCTTGTTTCGGAGCCATCCCCAAAGCCCTGCGGGGCCAGGGATACCCAGCTGCCGAGAGGGAGGGGCGGCTGCTTCTGCCTCTGAGGCTGAGCCCAGCTTCCCAACTCCTCTCTCTGCACCAGGGGCCTCCCTGCAGGGCCCTGCAGCTTCAGAACATCAAAGGGACGTCTGAGGGATCTAAGGGGGATCTCTCCTAACCCAGAGTGTGGATTTTAGGTTTGCAGGCAACATGGAGAGGCAGCAGACAGACAACCTCCTGAAGCAGCATGCCAGTGGGACCTACCTGATCCGAGAGAGGCCAGCAGAGGCCGAGCGTTTTGCCATCAGCATCAAGTCAGTGGCTGGCTAAGGGCAGTTTCTCCCACCCCTCGGGGGCACACAGGGTCTCTTCCAAAGAACAGGAGATGGGTTCACACAGCCCCGCTGGACCCCAGCTAGCTTCCAGACCTTCCCTGTCTTCGTATTCCAAAGAGTTACCCATAGCTTAAGGGGAGGCCCTGGGACAAGCACCCCTTTCCAACTGGCCTGGAATGCCTTGCAAACCTCTTTCCTTTGGACTTGCTGAAGGAGAGTTCTTGTTTTAGAGTTTGGCAGAGATAGCGTTTCTGCTTCCAATAATTGGTCCAAAATTAGTCGGCATCACGGTCCTCCTTGGGAGGCCACATTCACATCTTAAGCCCCCAAGAGGGGGGGTGCTTGCCCCCCAGGTGGAGCAAGCCTTCAAGTGGGCCTCCAGCATTTTAGCATATGGGGCACCCACACCAGATGGACCTTTGGCTATTAAAGTCTGGCCGGTTTAGGCCCAGCTCTTTGCCAGCCTCTCCCACGGGTCAAATCTGGAGGGTGATGGTGGGCTGGGCTTTTGGGTAGGAAACATCCCTGCAATGATCTCCTCTGCCCTCTCCCTTGCAGGTTTAATGATGAAGTCAAGCATATTAAAGTTGTTGAAAAAGATAACTGGATCCACATCACAGAAGCAAAAAAATTTGAAAGCCTCTTGGTATGGTATTCTGGAAAAAACAAGTCTTGTCTTGAACCGGATCTTCCTGGGGGCTTCAAGGGGCTCATTGGCTTTGACCTTCTTCTGCAGGAGCTGGTGGAATACTACCAAGGCCATTCCCTGAAGGAGAGCTTCAAACAGCTGGACACAACATTGAAGTATCCATACAAATCCCGGGAACGCTCTGCCTCAAGAACCTTAGCTCGATCACCGGGTAAGGGCTGTCTCCATCCTGCTGGGGGTCACAGAGCAGGTGGAGAGCTTGCACAAGGAGCCCCCCCTTTGCTCCCACAAGCCAAAGGCCCAATCCCCACCAGCTGGCCAGCGGAGAAGCCCCGCAGTGGAAAGACTCTTGCTATGGGGATGGGACTCCCAGGCCCCCCAACCTTTCAAAGCCTCCCCCAGTGCCCCATGGCTTTCCACCCAGAGCAGCCACCATTGTGGCTCAGCCCAGCAGGGCAGATGGGTTCAGTCTAACCAGGGTTGGCTTTTTGATCCATGGGTTGGAGGGATGTATTTCCAACAAACCTCCTTCTTTCACCCCCCAGCAGACACCCCCCCCCCAGCAAGGAGGGGCTGGGAAGGAGACAGCAATGGCCCACCTTCCTCTTTGGAAGCTTATCTGCAGAAATGCCAAAGAAATTCTAAAACTGTCCTGAGGCTGAAACAAAACAATTTAACGAATCTGAGTTTATGAAAAGAACACTGGAGGAGTCGCTTTGGAAGGGGATGGGTTTTTGCCAGATATCTGAGCCTTGATTGGGAGAAAGTAAATAGCTCCCCCACCCAGGAGAAAGCAGGAATTCCCCCTCCTCCATCCTGCTCTCACGAAAGCACCAAATTTATGCAGGCTCCCCAGCTGACCCCAAAGGTCTCCCCCTTCCCTGGGTGAGGGGTGAGCGATGAAGGGGCTGGTCTGAGGGTGGACAAGCAAGTGGCCCTGCATGACCAAATGCACCAGAAAGCTCCATCTGAGTTTTTGATGACTCGGGCCAGGATTGCTGGCTGGTCGTTCCTGTGTGATTCTGGCTTCATCTCCAAAGCTCATTTTGATGATGGTGATGATGATGATGGGAAAGTCTGTGGCTGACGCTGATCCTGCATCCCGGGGGGGCTTCCAAACGTCCTTGGTGGTTCTTTCAGATGCTGCCTACTTGCCCTGAGCCACGCTCCACAGCCCTGGGCAGCTGCATCTGAGAGCCACCTGCCATTTAGTGCTTTTTTAAGGAAAAGGGCAGAATCCTTCCTGCGTGCTGAGTCTGCTGGGCCTTCTCCTCTGGCGCCTTCCCTGGCCCTGTAGGGGACCGGCACCCTTCCCAGGCTGATGTTTTGCTTACTCCCATCCGGACAGGAGACAGCCTGGCTCCCTCTGCGAACATCAGCCCACAGTGGGGTCTTCGCCTGGGGAGGCAGTGGGGGTCGAGTGGCTGGCCAGCCACGCAGACCCGCTCTGTCTTCCCATTAGGTCAAAGAGTGAAGAGCCACGTGGTTTGGGTGGGCATTTCCCCTGCCTTGCTGATTTCTCCCGTTTCATAAATGTCCCCCTTTAATAATGTCTCCCCCCTCCCCTTTCTCCTGCTGCCTCCATTTCCCTCTAACTTCTTTTCTGCAGCTGCCTGCGCTTCCTACAATTTTTCCTTTCTCAGTCCTCAGGGCCACCACTTCACTTCTCAGAATCCCTCCACTCCTTTTTGGTCAGGTAGATATAGCTCTCTCTCTGTCTCTCGATATAATAAATATAGTAGATGAATAATATCTATATGCATGCAAAGGCTCCCATCCATTTGCTGAAGGACAGTGACACCTGCTGGTCATCTAAGAAAGGACCGTGTGACCCTCTGCCCACAGCTGGCAGATCAGCCACCAGCTCCTAGTCCAGCCTTGGCAGGGCAGCTTAACAGCAGCTGAGAAAGGCTCCTTGTGGCCAGAAAGGCTAAAGAGGTGCCCAGGTAGAACTTGGACCACCACATTTTAGCCAGAAAGAAAAAAAAGGCTGAAAGTCGCGGAATGTGCTGACATTGCTCTCGCCTGACTTGGGACCTGGACAGGTCATGCCATGGGAAGCTCCTTCACTCTTCTTGCTTTATATCTCCCTCCCCCCAGTCTTCACTCCTCGGGCCATCGGGACTGCAGTGGCGAGGTACAACTTTGCTGCCCGGGACATGCGGGAGCTCTCCCTGCAGGAAGGGGACGTGGTGAAGATCTACAGCCGGATCGGCGGGGATCAAGGCTGGTGGAAGGGAGAGGCCAATGGCCGAGTAAGTGGCCTCTGGAAGGTGCACAGCCCTCTCTTGCAGAGCTCTGGGCACAGCCTGTCACGTTCCTTTCTGAATTGGGGAGGGGGCATCCAGACAAGGAGTGGCGATGCATCCAGCTGAGCACCGGGCCAGTGCCGGGCCCTGCTCTCTCAAGCCCCCTCAGTCATAAAAGCCCCCCTCCCCACTGGCCTGGCCTGGTCCCGTGCTCCATCGGGGCTGCCCCTCAATCCTTATGTTCCGTCGTGATTTCTTGCAGATCGGCTGGTTCCCTTCGACCTATGTGGAGGAGGAGGGGGTGCAGTGATGCCCACACTGGCAGGAGCTACTGTCCCTGGGGACAGCCCCGGCCCGTCTCTGGGCCTCCAAGGGAAACAAGACTGTTCTTCTTCCAGCACCGAGAAGAGCGCCTCTGTGGCCCACTCCCCAGTCCATGGGGCAGAGTCCACGAGGGGCACGTGAAGCGGTGGGGAAGGCCCAGCTGCTTCTCTCTCACCTGTTCCCTGACACGGAAGAGCCGAACGCTGGATATTGAGCCACGTCTGCAGAAAACCACGAAGCCTCTGGGGAAGGCAGGCAGGACCCAGTGGCCTGGCCAGAAGTGGCTGCACTACCAAGCCTTCTGAGGTGTGGAAGATGGGCTTGGTGGTGTCTGATCCTTGAGTGGGATACGAGAAGAGATGCTGGGGGTTTGGGAGGCACAGGAGGACATTGCAAGGGGTGCCCTTGGCTTAGGAACTTTAGGGGGGCTTCTGCAAGTCCCAGCGTCCAGCATGGCGGGGGGCTGTGGACTAACCAAAGTTGCCCTAAATGTGAGTGGGCCCCTTTATGATCCAGAGGAAAGAGCCCACCCGGTGACCATGTGAGCATCCCCAGACTGCTGGGGTTCTTCATGAGCCTGTTGTGAATCTGGGACCGGAGAGAAGGAAGTACAAGCAATGTGGGCTGCACCCCACGGGCCCCACTGCTGCCTCTCCCTCTGTTGTGTGAGTCTCTCCTCCATCAGTCCTGGGAGCCTGTCTGAGCTGGCTGCCAAATGGACCCTGTGGCCTCCACGAGCCTCTGCTAGTCGCAACCCGTAAAGGTTGGCCTTCTCAGGGCCTGCCGGTTCCTGGTGCTGCTGCTGCCCTCTGAGTTAACCAGGAAGCCGTTGCATGAGGCTCATCCTGCTGGCAAAATGGTTTCCATCCACCCAGTGGCCCTCAGAGCTGGAGGAGCTTCTGCTCGGAGAAGAGGTTGCTAAAGAGGATTAGTGCCCAACAGAACAGATGCTGTCCACACGGATGCCACAGATGTGCGCAGAGCCCCGGCAAGGATCTCTTGCCACAAAGGAGGAATCTCTCTGCCTTTCAGACTTTGGGGAGATCCACTGGCCGTGTCTAGGCCATGAGGCAGCTTTCCCTTCCAAGCATACCAGGGAGCCCTCTTGAGCACTGAGCCACTTCCCTGGTTTCCTCAGCTCTTTTGCAAAAGGCTTAGGTGCCAAGGGGCTGCACGTGGGGCAGGAACCTGGCCTTTCCAGGGGGCAGAGGCCAAGGTCTCCTGGAAGCTGCTGAGATTGGCACAGCAGCCCCTCTGCCTGCCTGCCTGCCTGCTCCCAGCAGATCTGCATTTGAGTGCCCAGGTGGGCCTGGGCCCCACAGCAGATTTGCCTCCATTTTAAAGAGAGCCTCACCTGAAATCAGCCTTGACTTTAATTCTCTTGGCTCTTCCAGGCTGCTTCTGCCCTTTCACCCGTTGCAGACAGCCTGGCAAGCTAACATTCCCTGATGTGGATGCCCCTTCATAAATGGGGTAGGCCCTAGGCCAGAGAGCAGAGAGGTCTTCCAGTCGTTCCTCTTTTCACCTACGGAAATACCTACATGAGGCGGAGAGGCAGAAAGTCACCCCCGTGGCTGATCTCAACAGAGTTGATCAGCAGCTGGGTGGATCCCTGTAGAACTCTTTGGGTCATCAGGCAAATCTTTCCCTAAGGGAGGGAGCTCAGCTGCCTAACGCCCCCCCCCCTTAGACTGAAGCAACGGGGGCAGGTAGGTAGGAGAAAGGAAGTCTGTCTGGCCTGCAAAAAATCCCAGTGACCACTAGATGGCAGAAGAGGGAGTCTCTGTATTCTCTCTTTGCTGCTCTCTAGGAGGCTGGATAGGATTCAGCGCTCTGAGCTGGGGCTGAGAGGGGTGCTTTGCAAAACCAGAACAGAAAAATATGCTGCTCGTATCTCCCAGACCACTTGCCAGTTCCTCCTGAAGTCAGAATTAGAAACAGGCATCAGGGAGGACCCACCATAACACCCAGTGACAGTGCACGCAGTATGTTCCTACCCAGACCTGATCAGCTGGTCCCTTTTCCATCTTGAAGACTGCCTCTTCTGTGCTACAGATGCGGGAGAGGCCGCCAGGAGCAGTCCAGGGTCTAGGCTTGAGGCACCTGCTATCCACCTGTTGCATCTTTTCCCTCTTTCTGGGTCCTTCCAGAATCCCCCCCCCCAGTGGATGCAGTAGTCGTGGAAGGAACAGGAGGAATAGAAGGGGATTGCAACCTTCTCCGTGGAGAAGTACAGAACAAAAGAAAGCTAACCACTGAGTCACCATGCCTGCATTTTCTGTAAACTAAGTGAGGGGTGAGCTGGCCTGGTGGAGTAGCTAGAGCGAGGGAAGTGTTGGGCCAGGACTGGGAGGCCGGGGGTGAAGCCCACTCCTTGCTGAGGGAGCTCTGGGAGACGAGGACACCCATATGCCGGTGCAGGATTGTTGTTGAAGAAGAGCCGGTGCTGTGGGCATGGCCCAAAGGAAGGGCTGCCTCTGTTGCAGACACTACTTGTCTGAGCACGTGCAGAAGTTCAGCCCCATACAAAACTCCATCGAAGTTTGAAGAGGCATTTCTTCTCAAAAACAAGGGACCACAATGCAATTGTATTATAAGATGGTCCTTCTGAAGAAAATCAAAATATTTGATTGGAAAAAGAAAGGCTGTTTTTTGTTTGCTGATGTAACATTTCTTTTTTCCCCAGGAGGTGTTTGGTTTGTAATTAATTACTCTCCCTAGCCACCCTATTTGTGAATAAGAAAAGGATTTTTTATTAAGAAGGCAAAATAATGTACATATATTTTGATTTTGCAAAAACATTTTTAAAAGAAATATAATAATGGAAAATTAATATGGACAACATTCTCTGATGTATTGGTCTCTCTTTCTTTTTTGCACTGCCCTAAATTGAGGCCAGGAGATGAAAAATTGTAATATATTTAGATACACAATATCCTCAATTCCCAATACTTTTTCTTAAGAGAAATCTCTTAATTTCTCTAGCAAACACTTTTTCCTTTGTTGAGAATTTCCTCTCCTTTTACATGGTTTCCTGGGGCATCTGACATCTGAAGGCAGCAGATTTGTTACCTATTTTTGATTGTGTGCCATTAAGTCAATTTGACTCCTAGAGACAGATTTTGTCCATGGTCTCCCACGGGGTGGGGGCTGCTGCCAGTGAAGTCTCATCTGTTGGTCCACCTCAAAATACTTCTGCTGCTGCAGTTGGAGGCAGCTTTGAAACGAACCAGCTGCAAAGATAAAATATTAAATATGGAACGAGTAACATATTGATTAAAAAACAATATGTTTTAAATAAATACTTGTATGTTTCTCTGGACAAGTCCAGCTTTCATTTTTATGAAACCAAGTGAGCGCACCCTTTCCCCCTCTTTTGGAAGACCACATATTTTTTTGCCAGCCTCTTCCTTTCTTCAATTATATTCACCAATTTCCTATCTTTATAAGCAGGAAAGTGCAAAGATTCCTTGGGTTGATGTTTCACTGCAGTTCAGGGCTCTAGTTAATAACGGCTTTCTTCATTTTTTTTTTCCTATTCTAGTGTAACAAACTTGGTCTGCCTTGCATTAATTTCAGAGCTGCACTGCAACAGGGAGCGTAGCAGCAGCCGCAGAGGCGAGCGCTGGCCTGACCGACGCCTCCCGTGCGCGGGGGTCAAGCTCCGTTGCGTCAAGTGACGCATCGCGACGTTTTTGCCATTGCGGAGCCGGGGTGGGCGTGGCCTGAGCGTGACGCCTCCGGCCCTAAAGAAGCCTCACGCTCTGCCCCGCCTGGCTCGGCCCTTCGGGCGGCCTCCCAGCTGCAAAGATACCGCTCTCCCCTCTCCTGCCGTTGCGCTGGGATGCGGCGCTTCTCCCGCCAAGCGAGCTCCCCACTCCGGCCCAGGCAGAAGCGGTCGCCGAGGGCTGGCTGTCGGCGGAGCGGGCCGCCGGCTGGACGTTGCGCGGGCCTCGCAAAGGTCACGTTAGTGCCCCTCCCCCCGCTCCTTGGCTACTGGAACGCCTGGAGGAGGGAACCCAACGAAATGGCAACGTATTTGCAGAATACCACCAAATAGCCCAAATCTGCAACAATGAAGCCAGGAAAGCCAAGGCCTTGCAACAAGTGTCAAAAATAACTTAAATGTTCCCAAAGGGGGAAAAAATGGATCGAGGAAATTACAACTAATCAACCCAACATCAATATCTGGAAGATCCTAGAAAAGGTAATCAAGCAACTGATCTGCGAACACCTAAAAGCAAACAAAGTTATAACCAGAAGCTAACATGGATTTGTCAAAGACAATCATGCCAAACCAATCTTATTTCATTCTTTGACACAATGACTAGTGATTATTGGCCAGTGAAATGCTGTGGACACAATATACTTAATTTCAGTAAGGCATTTTGACAAAGTAGACCTTGGTAAGATAGAAAAATGTAGGATACACAGCATCAGCACCAGATGGATTTGTAACTGGCTGACCAACCACACTCAATGGATAGTCCTCAGTAGCACTATTACATCTACACGGAGGGAAACATGCAGACGGGAATCCCAAGATTCTGTCTTAGGCCCAGTACTTTTTAACATTTTCATAAATGATTTGGATGAAAGGATAGAATAGAAACTCATCAAATTTGTGGGTGACACTAAGCTGGTGGGAATAGCTAACCCTTCAGAAGATAAGACACAAGATACAGAAAGATCTTGACAGACCTGAACACTTGAACCCCTTATCCACAAAATGAAATTCAGTGGCGAGAAAAGTCCTACACTTAGGCAGGAAAAACCAAATGCACAGGTATAGAACAGTGGTACCTGACTAAACAATAGCAACTGGGAGAGGGATGGAGGAGTCCTAGTGGACAGCCACTTAGGTAGGAGCCACCAGTGCTCCGCAGCTTCCCCAAAAACCAGCACAGTCCTAAGCTGCATCAACAGAAGTACAGCATCAAGAATATAAGAAGTGATAATACCGCTTTATACTGCACCAATGAGACC